GGGGACGTATCCTCCTGATGTTGTAAAGCGTGTATCTGCAGCAGCGGGTTGTTGCAGCAATGTTTGCAGTGAAGGACAGTTTGTTATCTAGGGTCACACCCAGATTCCTTGCAGTCTGAGTCTGGGAAACAATAGAGGTGCCGATGTTGATTGTTAGGTCAAGGGTGGGACAATCTTTTCCCGGAAGGAAAAGCAGTTCAGTCTTGTCAAGGTTGAGCTTGTGGTGGTGAGCAGACATCCACTGAGAGATGTCAGCTAGACAAGCAGAGATGCGTGCGACGACCTGGGTCTCTGAGCGGGGAAAGGACAGAATTAATTGGGTGTCGTCAGCGTAGCAGTGGTATGAAAAACCATGCGGGCTAATGACAGATCCGAGCGAGTTTGTGTACAAGGAGAAGAGGAGGGGACCAAGAACAGAGCCCTGAGGGACCCCTGTAGTTAATTGACAAGGGTCGGACCCTCTCCAAGTAACCCTGTAGGTGCGGTCTTTGAGGTATGAGGTGTCGAGGGAAAGTGCAGAGCCTGAAACTCCAAGTTCTTGGAGAGTGTGAAGGAGGATCTGATGATTCACCGTGTCGAATGCAGCAGACAGTTCCAAAAGGATGATGACAGAGGAGAGGGATGCTGCTTTTGCCGTGGGCAATTCCTCAGTGACAGCAAGGAGGGCAGTTTCTGTTGAGTGACCTGCCTTGAAACCAGACTGGTGCGGATCCAGAAGGTTGTTCTGATGGAGATAACAGGAGAGTTGTTTAAAGACAGCGCGTTCAAGTGTTTTAGAAAAGAACGGGTGTGACATCATGAAATAAATGTCATGACAGCAACTTTTAACCCTTTCTAAGGATAACAAGCTCTTGCACTTTGGTGTTTTACATCACATGGTACCTTGTGGTATTGCTACTTAATTTTAAAAGTTCATAGTCCTTGTTCCACCTTCCGTCCCGATCCACATGCACGCCCTGACTCTTTGAACCCTACCTCCCCTCGCTGTTGTGGATTGACCGTTTTTCTGCTCAGTTTGATCTATTTTCTCCCTGCCAGGTCTCCAGTGGAGGACTGACCTTCCCATCCCTGCTTGAACAGAATGTTCCCTGATCTTCTCTCGCTAGTTGAAAAAGGCATCTCACCAAGAGGCTCTTTATGTTTCCGTCTCTCCTGCCTTACTCTCCCCTTAAAGCACACATCTGCCTCCTTCAATATCCCTCTGCTACTTTCACAGAATATTGTCTTGCTTACAATAGCATATTTGCCTCTCAGGCTTTTATCTCTTTTGCTGAGCACTTGATCCTCCAGGATCATCTCCAGGACACCAGAATATTGTAGGTAACTGTCAGGTTTCTGCGGTGGTGAACCATCAGTGACTTTTACCATTGGTGGCAGTTAATGTCAGGCATTAGGTGATGTACTGGGATAAGGTATTAAATAAGTATCTTATTAACATGCTAACATAATGCATGAGGTTATTGAGCTGGTGAAATGGATGCTTCTTGAGAGATTGCCATCCATCTGTTCAGGCCAAGGTCAGGTCATCTGGTCCTGGGTTCCTGCAGCTATTTTCACTCCGTTGTTACATAATCCACATGTATTGCGCAAGCTATTGATTTTGTCATTCATCACATTGTGGGGAATATTAATCTCAAGGTGCACTTTAGATAACAGTTACAGGTTTAAGTATCATTGAAGGATAATGCTGGTGTTATTTAATATTTTTCTTCCTAGTCAATCTCAAAAAAGGAAATCTGACCAACATACACCATCCTGCTGCCATCCACAGTGATGGAGGAAGCTCTGTAATTATAGGTTGATCCACAGGAAAACAATTACCAACTGTCGGAATAATTTATAAATTGTTAAAGTATTTTTAATTACCTGGGAGTGTGAGGAGCTTAAATTAAAAAAAAATCGCTTTTCTCTGCAATGTTGACCTAACTAATCAATTAATCTAGAAAAAATTATCCAATTAAAAATGCAATAACAACCATCAATTGTTATTTAATATAGTAATATTATCATGTAAAATAATATATTGCAATCTGATTCCTTTGAAATCATACTTTGTTAAAAAAAAAAAGTGTTAACTTTAAATAGACTTGACCTTGATTTTGAAATAAATATTGTTGACTTAGTACACATACAGTTTGACCCTAAATCTCAATTTCAATCAATTATTTCCTTTTTCTGGCACAAATGGGCTTTCATAGTTCTTTCAAAAATAAATGAAAGGCCATTAAAGAAAGCAAAGCTGTTTTGTTTTTTTGGTAGTTACTGGGAAGGTGTTTTTTAAAACCTGATGATAGTTTAGACCCGTGATGCGTATACGGACGTCATCTGTGTGGTTCACAACACGAGAGTTCCTCAGGGCCTTCCTGTTTTGGAGAGAGTTGAATCCGCAGGTGAGAGACCCTCGCTCTGGGCTTTGTTGTCCGTACACTCTGATGAGTTTCGTATCCCACTGCAGCCAGGCAACCCTCCTCCATTGTTTGCTTTAAACAGTGACCCCTGAACAGCCTCTTTCTAGACACTATAATCCCTTTTATATAAGGTCTCAAATTCATCGCTGTTTTTGCTTTTCCCAACAGATCAACTTCATCTTCCTCTTCAACATCGTGAGAATCCTGATGACCAAACTGCGGGCCTCCACCACGTCAGAGACAATCCAATACAGGTACATTTACTGTCACGTGCATTATTCAGGTGAACATGCATGAGACAAAACTTTTGAGCTTCTCCTGAATGTGCACACACAAATAATTCATGTTGTATACTTGGATTTGTCGAGTGTGGTGAAGGGATACAGACGTACAGTGAGTAAAAGTTTTAAAACAGCCTTCCTGTCTGTTTTTTTGTATCGTCTGCAGGAAAGCTGTGAAGGCTACACTGGTACTTCTTCCTCTCCTGGGACTCACCTATATGCTGTTCTTTGTCAACCCGGGGGAAGATGAGATCTCTCAAATTGTCTTTATATATTTCAACTCTTTTTTGGAGTCCTTCCAGGTACGTGTAGACGTCCTAAATGCTCTCAGGGTATAATATCATCTGCATGGGTGTATTTTTGATTAAAAAGTGTTGGACGGATGGATTGGTCATCCTTAGAGATGACTGAATGAGTGTAACGTTTGATAAGGTGCTGTGCATGCGATGGAAACTGGATCAGGGTGTTGATGTTTTGAATGCCCTCCTTTTTATATGATGTTTTGTTTCCTCTCCACACAGGGCTTCTTTGTGTCTGTGTTTTACTGCTTCCTAAACAGCGAGGTAAGCACATTCACATCCACTTATTGATTTAACATTTAACATTCCCCCTTGCTTCCAACATGTATTTATATTACCCATCTTCAGGCGCTTCCACTCTCCCTTTTGGTGGCTGTTGTTGTTGAGTGATAACGCTGGAAGCATTTTTATTTAGGGCATAATTAAGACTTGTCATATGTAAGTGACATCAATTTCTACTCATGACAATGTCAGCCTTAATTTGGTCTCACTGAGAAATCGGGGGTGAAGCCCTCTCAAAATAGTGCAGAAATATGAATATGCCTGCAGAGATGCTACATTTAATGTGTTATGACATTTTTAATAATATTACCAGTACTTATAGTAGAAGTGATTTAATTACCATGTATGAAAATATACATCAGATATTTGTTCCAGAGTATACTGGAGCACTATTATTAAAGGCAAAAAAAAACATTATTTAAAAATGCATGTTTTGACACAGAATAAGAACCAGAAATCTGGTTTGTCCCACTGCAGGAACATTTACATTTTCACACAAGGGGACAGTAAATTAAAAAACGCACATTAATGAAATGTAAATGCTCTAATCTTCAAAAAGGTCTTTATTTGTATCATACTGCAAGTGCTGCATCACCTCTTTTCATCCTCTGTCTGAAACCAGAGCCCAGTGGAGGGAACTTTGGGATTTTAGTCTTTGCAGACCATTGACATGAACAAAAACCTATGTAACACACTACAGGAAAGGGAAAAAAGCATAATAGGGCCCCTTTAAATAAACGTTAGGAACAACAGAAGAATTCTCCCCAAAAAGACATAAGGTGACGGAGAAAATAAATTCTTTGTTTTGTCCTTTTGAAGAGATAATCAACATGGATTTTCCATGACAGCAGCTGTTCAATCAATGCACCCAAGTATCTATAGGAAAGGACCTGCTAGATCTGTTCAGGATGAGAGTCAGATTGTTAGCCAAAAACTACTACTACGTGGTTTCCCGTAGATATTGCAAACACTATCAAGTGGTTAGATTGACATTCCAACAGCTGTTGTCACATTTTTACTGGAATATTGCTGAATTTCACCTTTTTTTAATGAACCCTGGCCAATTCAAACTCATTTTGTTTTGATTCAGAAGTCAAAACTGTTCATAAAGGCCTTCATAATTTATAGTATGGGAAGCAGAGTGAGAAAATCCATTTTAGAGCCGTTAAAGTTTTTGTTTTTTTAAGTGCAGTTTTGTACCTACAGTAAAAGTGTAAATTACCTTCCACATCTTGCTCTCCAAAGTTACGATCAATACCCTTTTGGCTTTGGTTAGGACCTGCCAGATGTAAATGAAATAAGCTTAGTTGGTATTGCAAACACCAGGTGTGTATTTATCAGTGTTCCAGTGCAGAGATCACATTCTCTTGAAAAAAAACAACTCCCATAATCAGGAAGTAACTCTGCACTGGCTGAAAAACCGGACGGGGAAAATATGCTGCAAGTGGGAAGGGTTCACCACTATACAATAACAGAGAGAGAAAAGCAAATGTATAAATAACTCAACATTGGGACAAAAAATCTCAACCCTCCTCTCCTCCACCTTATCTGTCCCTCCTCCCATCTTTGCACAATCGCTGCAGATGTTTCCAAGCAATAACAAGCACACAAAAGATTATTTAGTTTAACTTTTACACTTCACAAGCAGCAAAATAACAAAAGTGAAGCAGAAGAGGTTGCACGGCAATCCATCCAAGAACTATCAACATATTTGGGACGTAGTGAAAGACCGACTGACTGAATTTCAAAAATAAAGCACCAGGCAGTACTGACGGATCACTCGGTATAATAAACAATAGCTCTGTAGTTTCAGTTAGTTCATCGTAACTCATTGTCTCTGTTGCTTAGCTTTCCCTTTCTTGCTACATATTTGAAAAGGTTTTGAAAGCCACTGAAAACATGTACAAAGTTATTTGTTATATTTATAGAACACAGCACAGAAGGAGTTTTGGGCTCCCTTCAACTATGCTCATTAAATATGAATCAGAAGAAAATCATGCAAGTTTAAAAAAAAGACAACAAAAAAAGGCATATCTGACACATTTTTTACAGAATATAGAAATACAATTTTACATGTATAAAATATATCATAAAGAGGTCCTTCTATACTTGTGGGGGGTTTCCCTCTCCTGTAGTGTGTTATATACAGTGGGGCAAAAAAGTATTTAGTCAGCCAGCAATTGTGCAAGTTCTCCCACTTAAAAATATGAGAGGCCTGTAATTTTCATCCTAGGTATACCTCAACTATGAGAGACAGAATGAGAAAAAAAAAATCCAGAAAATCACATTTTTAAAGAATTTATTTGCAAATTATGGTGGAAAATAAATATTTGGTCAATAACAAAAGTTCATCTCAATACTTTGTTATATACCCTTTGTTGGCAATGACAGAGGTCAAACGTTTTCTGTAAGTCTTCACAAGGTTTTCACACACTGTTGCTGGTATTTTGGCCCATTCCTCCATGCAGATCTCCTCTAGAGCAGTGATGTTTTGGGGCTGTCGCTGGGCAACACGGACTTTCAACTCCCTCCAAAGATTTTCTATGGGGTTGAGATCTGGAGACTGGCTAGGCCACTCCAGGACCTTGAAATGCTTCTTACGAAGACACTCCTTCGTTGCCCGGGCGGTGTGTTTGGGATCATTGTCATGCTGAAAGACCCAGCCACATTTCATCTTCAATGCCCTTGCTGATGGAAGGAGGTTGTCACTCAAAATCTCACGATACATGGCCCCATTCATTCTTTCCTTTATACGGATCAGTCGTCCTGGTCCCTTTGCAGAAAAACAGCCCAAAGCATGATGTTTCCACCCCCATGTTTCACAGTAGGTATGGTGTTCTTTGGATGCAACTCAGCATTCTTTCTCCTCCAAACACTCTGTTGAGTTTTTACAAAAGGTTTATTTTGGTTTCATCTGACCATATGACATTCTCCCAATCCTCTTCTATCATCTAAATGCTCTCTGCAAACTTCAGACGGGCCTGGACATGTACTGCTTAAGCAGGGGGACACGTCTGGCACTGCAGGATTTGAGTCCCTGGCGGCGTAGTGTGTTACTGATGGTAGCCTTTGTTACTTTGGTCCCAGCTCTCTGCAGGTCATTGACTAGGTCCCCCCGTGTGGTTCTGGGATTTTTGCTCACCGTTCTTGTGATCATTTTGACCCCACGGGGTGAGATCTTGCTTGGAGCCCCAGATCGAGGGAGATTATCAGTGGTCTTGTATGTCTTCCATTTTCTAATAATTGCTCCCACAGTTGATTTCTTCAGACCAAGCTGCTTACCTATTGCAGATTCAGTCTTCCCAGCCTGGTGCAGGTCTACAATTTTGTTTCTGATGTCCTTTGACAGCTCTTTGGTCTTGGCCATAGTGGAGTTTGGAGTGTGACTGTTTGAGGTTGTGGACAGGTGTCTTTTATACTGATAACGAGTTAAAACAGGTGCCATTAATACAGTTAACGAGTGGAGGACAGAGGAGGCTCTTAAAGAAGAAGTTACAGGTCTGTGAGAGCCAGAAATCTTGTTTGTTTGTAGGTGACAAATACTTATTTTACCGAGGAATTTACCAATTAATTCATTAAAAATCCTACAATGTGATTTCCTGGATTCTTTCCCCCTTTCTGTCTCTCATAGTTGAAGTGTACCTAGGAGGAAAATTACAGGCCTCTCATCTTTTTAAGTGGGAGAACTTGCACAATTGGTGGCTGACTAAATACTTTTTTGCCCCACCGTATGTGTTTGTGCATGTAAATGGTCTGCAAAGGCTCAAACTCCCTCAAGAGGGAGTTTCTCTCCCATACTTAACATGTATGTTCAGCAGGTGATTTGATTGACAACCAAACAGCTTTTTTCACATCGTAATCAATATATTTTTTAATTTCCTAAATCTGGCCACTTCAATGTCAGCATTTTTTTTTCAATCTTCCTAAATTAAATAGTGACCTGTAAACCCTGTTGGTTCTAATTGTTAATGTTAATGCTAATGTTTTTCAGAAATAACTACTATTTATATTTTTTTAACGAAAAAAAGGCAAGACCAAGCTGACAGAGAAAATCTATTTTTAGAGCCTTTAAAGGTTTTATCTGAAAAAGGAAAGCTTTCTACTTAAAAGGGTACATTAACTTCCACATTGTGCTCTCCCAAGTAGCGATCAATACCCTTTTGGCTTCAGCTAAAACCTGCGTGATGAAGATGAAATAAGCATTAAGATATAGTATCACCTGACCTTTTTGTGTGGTAATGAGGATTATGTCAGATCTTGAGTTTAATCAGGACAGCCTGCTGGTTCGCCTGCTGAATCGTAATCTGGTGATTCAGTCCACTGCAGAATAATCATCATTTTACAAGGTGTTCCTCGAGGAGCGGCACATGGAGGTGATATTGGCTGACTGCTGGCCTTTGGTCAACGTCCCACTCTGTGAGAGCCGGCTAGATGATGAATGGATGTCTCATCACTGACCAACAAGGAGCTTAACCGGCGTGTGTAGTTTACAGAGGATATTGATTTAGGGTTTTGTTTCAGGCTGAGAATAGCAGAAAATAAATGAAACTGATGAACAAAGGATAGCCGTGGTCACTTGAGAGAAGGGGAACACATTTTGTTCCATAACATGTGCGGGGAGGATTAAATCTTGTTCACAGATGACAGAAGCCAACACAACACTGGTTAACACGCTGATGAAATTAGATGTGAAATATCATAGTGTGTTAGAGTGATTGTGGGGATCAGCTTTTTTTAGATTAAAGCTCTTTTTTGGATAGTGATTACTAAAGGCAGGGATGTAGAGAAGTGGGACACATGGGACGATTGATATTTGTTTTGGACGTGAGAGAGGAGAGGAGAAGAGGAGGAACCCTTTTTAATCATCATCAAACTGATTTACTGCAAGATGTAGCAATAGATCCTGGTTACAAACTAAATGGAATTCAGTGGAATTGCAGGTGCAAATTTGATTTCAAATAGCAGAGATTGATAAGTATGGA